GTCGGGTTCGAACCACGGACTTTCCAGTCAGTAAATTCGCGCTCTAACCACTTGGGCCGTCTCGCCTCCCCCATGAGAATCCCCAAGAACCAAGCCGGGTTCACCCTGGTTCACTTGGGCCGTCTCGCCTCCCCCATGAGAACCCCCAAGAACCAAGCCGGGTTTCACCCTGGTTGGGGTCCGCTTACTATGTCTTCATTTTGGTACAGTTACGTGAACAAGCATCCGACGGCACTCTTTTTTCTATCAGAAAGCTGCTTCCGAATCGATCGCCAATAAATGTGACATTTTCTGTCGACCAATGGCATGTTTTCTGATTTCTTACCTTGTTGCTGTATGCCAACTCTGGAGGATGCCAGTTGTCGCGAGGTCATTCGGTTCATCACCTGAGAAGCGTCTACCCATCCCAGCAGTATCGAGTTGAGCTGATTAAGAAGCTTCCATGAGGAGTAAAAGAGACGGTTGATGGATAACAAGGGTTTGAGAAATGGAGCAAAGGTGTACAGCACGATCCACTCGCGATTTATTCCAACTAACCCGATCAACTGCTCCGAAGGTGGCGGGTGTTAGTTAAACCATCTAAGAAACGTACGGGACCCTAATTCATTCGCATATCAAACACTTCGAAGAATAGCTCAACTGAGTCCCATCAAGCCAGAGGGACGATACGAAGCCGAATGGAACAATGATAGCAGTCCATCATCGACAACAGAGGTTTCACTTGCAGTTTCATTGCAACAGGGTACTTGGTCTGCAAAATTCAAAGAAGGTTACGTGTCCCTTGTGGTCAACCTGACGAACTCACTGCAGAATATCTGAAATGAATAAAGTGGCGACATAATGGGACGCCTCGGTGGCGATTCACATGTTTACAGTGTTCAAGAGCATCAAGCGAAAATTTCTTGGGCCATGGCTTCCAGGTTACTGTCGTATTATTTTACGCCAGTCTATTCACCATTGGGAGAGTCGTTTTCGCGAGAATCAAGCCGAGGGGTTACTCCGATTATATCTTCACTCTACAACAAATGGCGGAGTTGCGCCTCTCCTTCCGACAGCAATCCCTGGCCATTTTTCTCGATGTGAAAGCTGCTTTTGTCCGCGCTGATCGTGGAAGCTCCTGGCAATGAGAAGCTTCCCTTCGAAATTCTCGTCTTACAAGGGTTCTGTAAGCCTCCTTCCGTAGACGCATGTGTCTACGACAAATTCTCTCTTGAGTTCACCATATCCAGCAGTGTTAGGCGAAGGTGTCGCCCTTTTTAACCTCATGATCGATATGTTACTTGACTCTTTTTGTTTGCCTCCAACATATTTGGGATCGAAATTCTCCCAGAGTGTCCGCTTACACACAGTGAGTGCGCTGACGATGTGACGCTTTTAGAAGTGCAGATTGCTATGGTTCCCTCATCTATCAATCACACTTGTCGGTTACACCGGAATCGAGAAGACAAACAACCTTGAGGAAGTTGTAATGGAAACAACTGAACTGTTCAGTGGTATGCATTCAAATGAACCAGAATGTAAAGAGAGCAAACATAGGGGAAAGTGTTGGTAGCTCAGGTAGCGTAGACGGTCCGTGGTTTGTTCACTCAGCTGGACAGTTTGATCTCAAACGTTTCATCACCAATCGAGGTGACATCATCAGTGCGTTGTTATGGAGCGTAGGGCTGCGTAGCGATCGTTCGCAATCAAATTGCCCAACTCAGTGGACAAACAGATGACCAAAGAGAGAACAGTCCAATAGGATATCAACGAAAGGCGGAAATGGAAGAAACACTTGTCGGTCCACAATACAAATTGTTAGCAAAATCGATTTGTTCGTTTGGGGGCAGTTCTCCTAGCACAAACAGCTGTGAATAAACTGAGTAATTCTCTTGCACATTTCGGCAAGCGCTTTATATCTGGAAAGTCTTATTGCAAGACTGGGTGGAATCAAACCCACTCTTACAAATGAAGCAATCGATGTGGTAGCTAAGTTCGTCAATCTGGGCAGCTGTACAAGTCCAAATGAACTGGAAAAGAAGAAATCATTTCGTGAATCTGGAAGGCCAGGACAACTTTTGCAAAAATCTGAAGTTTAAGGCATAAACGTGACAGCTTGGCTGCCAAAGGGTAGGGTGTGCAATGCCGCGGTTCGATCTGCTCTACTTTATGGACCACAGAAGTGGTCACTGCTTTCGGAGGATCTTCGAAGACTCTGTGTTTGACCATCGGTGCCTCCGAAGAATCGCTCGAGTCTGGAGGGAAATCATATCAGTAATTCTGAGGTATGGCTCGTAGTTTTCAAAAAAGATAATGCCTTCTCAACAGGTCAGCCCACAGGTTACGCTGGTTACGTGATGTGCTTCGTATGCCAGGGCACCGTTTACCTCGCACTACCCTCTTCGCTCAGCCATATCCACGATGGAGATGATCTATGGGACAGTCAGTTCATAACTTGGCAACGAACAGTGCAACCTCATCAATGAACTCAGTCGCGCTGGTGACTGCCGTCTTTCCTGATGGAGACTCCCGAAAGAGACGAACCAACGGTAAATAACCTTGACAGGTGTGGCTTTGGTTGTTGATCAGGTGGCTGTTGATCTGTTCGCCGAGCTTGGCAATTGGCTTGCAAACGTTTCGTCACCATACGAGGAGACATCATCAGT